TGGTTAGTTCCAATTTAATAGTGAGTACATGTGGTATTTATTTTCCATTCTTGTAATACTTCACTTAGGAGAATGGTCTCCAATTCTATCCAGATTGTTGCAAAGGGTATTAATTCATCTTTTTTATGGCGGAGTAGTACTCCATGGTGTATATATATCACATTAATCAACTCATGAATTGATGGACACTTGACATTTTTAAATTAATACATCAAATACTGCAGTAATGTTTTATAATACCATATGCTGACTATACATAATATAAAGTTAAAAATTATTTTGATGAATTTAAGTTTGTAGTTATAGCAGGAGGACACTAAATTTGCAGCATTTCTTATAATTTTAAGAATCTTTTCCCTTAATGAAGCCACCAGCATTCTGCTGCTGTGCTTTTTAAAACAAGGTTGAAAGGAAAACATCAGGCTAGTTGCCCTCTCTCCCTTTCAGAAACGGAATGACTCCGTGGGTGGCCACCAGATTGGGAGGGTTTGGGGGAGCTGACTCTGTGGTGAGGTATTGTACAATCAGGCTAATTTCCTTATACCACTTGTCAAGTTAGAGGGAGGGGTAAAGGAAGAAGCCAGATCCTCACTTATCCCTGGGCATTAGGCGAAACTGTGCAGATTCCCAGAGGGAATGCTCCAAGTTGAAGTCAGCTCAAGGTATCGCGTTGGTCTTTGGCTTGGCACATTACCGAGGAGTCCATTTGTAAACTGGGTCACATAGGATAGATGAAGTGCTATCATCCTAGAAAAATCTGTAATTCACTTCTGAAAGTCCAGAAATTCCTTGTTTCCTTCTCTTTTAAACTAAAGGTGAAGTTTGTTGATGCTATACAGGTAATTTGGAGTAATTACCTGTGTGGTTTTTCTTAAGAATATGGGCTGTGGACCGGTGTAGCAATAGAACATGTTAAAGCCCAGATATCACAGAAAACCTTGTGCTCAAACCATCCTCTTTGTCTTTTGTGGTGAATGGGAGGTAGGAGATGTGAAATGGTAAAGTCTCTGGGTAGGGTGACAAAGCGACTCTGTTCTTCGTTTTCATGGTATAAATGATTAATCAACTGAATAATACCAGCACCATCATCTGTGTGACAGAACCAGAGGCCAGAAATGTAGCGTGGTGGCTAAGAGTATGAGGTCAGCCTTCAGACAGTCTAGATCCAAATTTTGTTTCTGTTACCATGCATGTAACCTTGGGCTAGTTACAAAATCTTTGCATGCCTGTATTTCCTAATCCCTAAAGTGGGATTAATAGTACTTGACTCTGTTAAAGAAAAAATTATTCAAATGATGCTTGTTAAAGCACCGTAAGGAAGACTTTATTCAGAACCATCGCTATGGGTATAGGGACCGTTGCAGTGGGGGAGAAGGATAAGGCTCGACTGGGAATACATCACGGGCAAGTGGGAATTCATAGCCAAGGAGCAGAGCGTGTGAGGTCAATGGATGGAAAACTAGTAAGAGGAAGTATCAGGGTTGAGAGCGATCGTGGCTAAACCAACCTAACAATGTGTGTAGGGGACAGGCCAGGGTGATCGGACATCACCTGGGACGGAGGAGGATGAGGAACCTGTTCAGCTATGAAGGGAGGGTTGGGGTTTCTCCCTGCACTGACTTTGGAGGGTTCTTTGCTACAGTTGGATTTTACAAGGAAGTGCACAGATGGGCCTGGCAGAAGATTCAAGAGCCTGAATAGATTTTGGTCAAGCAAAGAATCTCTGTCACCTCAGGGCTGTGGTGAGAATTTTATGACACATGTTATCAACCTTAGCATGGTGCTTGGTACAGAGGAAGTGCTCAATAAACTTTACCTATTGACATTGAAGCACTTTAAAGTTGACAAATACTTACATACCTTTTTAATGGGGCAAGCACAACAGTGGCAGGGGATTGTATCTCAGAGAAGCGGTGCTGAGGGAAGCTGCATTTGCACGGTGGCTGTAGGGAGACCCTGTGTGCGTGCGTACCAGGGTCTCGGGGGAGTGCAGGACGCGCCCCCCCAACCCCCATCTCAGCTGTTGCACGATCTCCCAAGTCCTCAGCCTATCCGTCAAACGAACGCTGGGCAAACACTTAAAGAATATTCGATGAGGCCAAAGTATTAGGCTGCCCTTGGCAACAACACGTGGGGCAGGCCAGGCGCACACAACAAACGCAGGAGTCGCGCCTCGCCGTCAGCGCCTAGCACCGCTCACCGCGGTTTCCGTGCACGAACTCACTCAAAGGCATCCTGTCCCCACTTTCCGCACAAGGAGCCTGCCCAAGGTCACGCAGCCGCCGAGGAACCGGGCCGGACCCGAGCCCGCGCGCCTGAAGGGCGGGAGGCGGGGACTGGGCGCGAGCGGCAACCCCCGGCCCCGGCCCCGAGCGCGAACGCTCCGGAGCCCCCGCGCGCAGCCGCCGGCCGCAGCCCGGGGTCCCACCTCGACCCCGCCTTCCGCCGGGAAGACCCCCCGCGCCCGGGCGTCGCGGGCGAGGGGCGCGCGCACGGACGAGACCGCACCGCGGCGCACGCGCACACGCGGGCATTCACTCGCCCGCCGCCCAGGATGAGACGCGAGGCATGGAAAGTTCCAGCCGGTTCGAGAGCCCTAGGTAGCAGGCGCGGCGGAGGGGGCGCGGTCGCGAGAGTGCGTGCGGCCTCCGCTGCCCGCT